AATCGTTAATTTTAGGGTGAAGACTTGGTTAGGTTTAGGGTTAGGGTAAAGGTTAGGGTTAGGCATGTGTTGGTTATGGTTAAGGTGAGGATAAGTCTCCAGGAAATGCATGTAAGTCAATGTCATGTCCCCTGAAGTGATGTATACATGGTGTGTGTGTGTGTGTGTGTGTGTGTGTGTGTGTGTGTGTGTGTGTGTGTGTGTGTGTGTGTGTGTGTGTGTGTGTGTGTGTGTGTGTGTGTGTGTGTGTGTGTGTGTGTGTGTGTGTGTGTGTGTGTGTGTGTGATATACAGATAAATAGCTCCTTCTAGTGGTGTGTGAACTCTTTTCCTTCACTTCCTTCTGAGTGTGTTTTCACTGGGAAATCCAGTTCTGGGTCCACATTCACTTCAACTGCAACACAGTTAAAACAGAGTGCTATCAGCCATCAAACCACACAGTTTAACACCTGTCACTAGTGCTTCAGTTAGGCACTCATTTTTTACATCTAGAGTTCATACATGTTGCTTTGCACAAGGAGTTTAGTGCCATCATTTTCCTGATTCAACCAGACAGCGGGATAGGAGCCTTGACTTTTGCTTTTGTCTTTGAACCCTTGTGTCCGTTAACCTTAAAGGAGACCTATCATGCTATTTGAATAATATATTGTAGGGCCATACCTATATAAGGTATATTTATACGTTTTCTTTTTCAAAATACCAAACAGATCATGCATTTTAGCCATGCCTCATTTTGCTCTATTTTCCTCTCCTCCACCCTGTCTTTGCATGCGCTGCAGCTGACCACGCCCCCCTGCAAAGGAGAGGGCCGAGTTACGAGTGTCATGTTACCATGCTGTTACCATGCCACGGCAACCTCTCATTCCCCTGATTGGTGGAGAGTTGGCCATATAGGCGGAGCTCCTCGTCACGGACGTCAGACTATTTTCAAATCTGGATCAGTCTGTATCAGATTTGTTGCAGCCCCGTTTTTAGAGATTTGGGTATGGAGGAAAAGAGAGAGGGTTGTGTTTTCTGACACTTGGTGAGTTCCCTGACACACCGGGGACACATATTCACTGTTCGAAATGGGGGGGGGGGGGGGGTCCAGGGGGAGCTTGGCTCCCCCGAAGAGGGAGGGAGCTCCCCTGAAGGCCGACTTTGAGATAGCCTAAGTAAGTAAGCCCAAAAGAATCGTGCATATTTGTGTCACACAGATTAGAAATGTTGAGTTTCTGTAAATAAAAGTTCTTGAAATAAATAATAGTCATTGTTCATTACAGTTTCTGAATATTTGTTTTATATTTGTGAATATTTCTGGGTGTTGCCATATGTACGTGGCGGCGCTACGCTACTTACGTTGCTATGGTTACGTGCCAGGCGATGCTGGCGCGGTATTTGATATTTTCATACTGATATTCTTTTTAACTCTGGCTTTGTAATAAAAAATATGGCGAAACTAAAAAACAGCCAAGCCTCGCTGCTTCTGGATTCACAAGCAAAGAAGCGAAGGAGTCTAAAAATGACAATGTGAACGGAACAACTTTTAGTTGGCCGGCTGTAAGCGGCGTTAGGGTCGAGTTTGACAGCTCCACACCGAGGGAGAGGCCTTCCTATGCGGAGCCTGAAGAGGCTTCAACAACGGCCACAGCCGCCGGCGCCACCTGCGCTTGTGAACCTGACGATGCCCATGACCTGCCTTTTAACTGGACACAGAAAATATGGAGTGAGTGGAATGAAAGTTATCCATGGCTTTTCAAAAAAAATAAAAAATGTGGATGTGAGATTTGCAAAGAGGCAAAAAGTATATTGATCTCCCTGCCGCTCACAGAAAAATCCACCAGAGTGCACCTTTCACAAGAATGGATTCAGGGAAAAGTCAGTAGTGATCAACAGAATAACCTGCGGAAAAATATTTACAAGCACCAGAGCCAGGCACACGAAAAAGAGATCGAGATTTCGGAGATGAGAAAAAAGAGGTGGGCCTATTGGCAATCAATGTTGATCTAATGCAGGAAACATATACATCTTTCAGGTCTGCCTATATGATTGCCAAAAAAATAAATAAATAGGGCTCCCCCGAAAGCAAATGGATAATTCGAACACTGCACATATTCATGTAAAAAGACGTACAAAGGTGCATTTTGCATGATAGGTCCCCTTTAATGGGCTTGCCAATTCATTTTTCAGGGAAAAAGTCTCCATCATGTGGAATGTTAAAGGGACTAAGGTGCCATGTCAGCTTAGGGCCTTTTTCACAAGCATCTTCTTTCAATTGATTCCAATGAGAAAAAATGCATGCCATCGCAAGTGCCTACCTTCAGAAAAGCAAATATTTAAACTTTTTGAGAAAAGCGCTCATGACGTCACTGTATCAATACGTTGAGAAGCTTTTTTGTGTGTTTTAAGGCCGCTACACACCAACCTGAGACCAAAGAACGCGTACCGAAGGCGTCCCGACTTTTACGTCCGCTACGTCGACTGCGTCGGCTACGCCGCCCGCCTACGAACACACCGCAAAGACTTCAGTCAACGAGTGGCAATAACTGTCCTTACCAGCAGGCAGCGGTAGTGTGTATTCGTCATTCAAAAGAGGCAACAACCGGAAGACAGACTGCGTTATCACTGCGTGATACAAACAAACAACAAATAGCGTCTGGGTTCCATTTTCACTCTCTCTCGTCGATCGAAAACATGTATCGTATGGTACTGGCGTTATCAGCAATTGGAGTGTTGCTTGCGGCTGTAAGATATAGCAAATATGTCTAAAGAACTGTACAATGTAAACAATCGACAAAAATACAATACGATAAAAATAGTGTGTAATACAATAACAAAAAGAGTTAGAGATATGTCTAATGCTGTGTTATCAATGGCTGTAGTATCAAGGTACGAAATAAAGTTTTGTATTGCCTATCCTGCTATTTGTGTTTTTCTTTTAATCACAGTGTTAATAAAAAAAAAATGTGCCTACATAACTGTCAGTTGCAGCCGTACATTATTATTGGTTTAACTACCAACAGTATATTTTTAACACATTTTAACATGACCATCTTGAACAGCTACAACGTTAAAATACTTCTAGGCAGATTGTGGAGGATAATGGGAGAAAGAATAGAGGGGCAGACAGAAACACCCATCTGAATAATGGCCACTTCGTGCAAAATGTACATTTCCATGTGATGCTCACAATAGGTAAATGAGCAATGAACAGTGGTAGACAGTAGCTCTGTCTGTCTGTGTGTGCCTTCTTAATCGTTTGTTTTGGTCCCTCACTTCCGCTTCACTTCTCATGCACTGATTCGCTAAGCTGAACAGCCAATCAGAGTGATTTCTTTGGCCGACTTTCTTTGGCCAACTGTCAAGTTGAATCGGCCGCGGGAGGTGTGAAAATGTGCCGTAAAGAGAAAATGTGCCATAAAGAGACAACGGTGCGGGACACACCAACCTGAGTAGGGCGCCGCGAATGCCCGACTGCCTCTGACGGCCTCTGACTCCCAAAATCGGGTTGGTGTGTCAGGGCCTTTAGACGGAAACTATCATAACAAAGGGCAAGAAGCCTATTTGTTTGAGCTGATCAGATGGCGGACTCTGAGGCCCAATCCCAAACTACGCCCTACACCCTACCACTACACACTACCCCCTCCGTTTGCACGTTCACGGTGGCGTGCGTTAACGCTTCTGCCCATTCACTTTGAATGGGGTGACGTCACACTTTGCCGAACTGCATTGTGGTTCCGACGCTTGGCTTTGCTCGCGTTGCTCGCTTCAAAAGTTGAGAAAAGTTCAACTTTTGAAGCTTCGACGGAAGCGTCAGCCAATCAAATCATATGCCAGTACAAGCTCTAGCCAATCAAACCGCGTGCTTGTGTGTCCGGGGCGGGAGATTCATGTGATTGGTTGTTGGTCGAGTTTCAGACACGCCCGCCGGCAAGCTTCAACGCGCACTGCCGTGTGGACGGGCCGTAACTGCTGTTCCAAACCAACGAGTGTGGAGCGCCGGTGTGGAGGGGGAGTGGGCTATCAAGCCCTCAAAGAGCGAGTCTGCAGCGGTGCTGACTGGAGACCGGTCTCTACCTGACCGGTCTCAACACTGTTTACAAGTAGTTCCAGCAAACATCCACTAATAAACTGCGATGTTTACAACCTCATGATAACCTCATATTTTTTAACTTAGGATCATACCTGTGTTTAGTCTAGAAAAAGGTAAATGTGTGCATTTTATTATAAAGTTGTGTATATTTACAGACCGTTGCAAAAACTAAGAAGCTTATAAACATCAGGTTTAAAACTAAAAGAGCTTTACAAAAAAGTTATTAATTTGAATTTTTTGTCTAAGAGATGCTGATTTGAAACCGTTGTTACATACAGTTACGGCATTTCCTGTTTCTGCCGGAGAGAGGGGAGGCCGTCCCAAAGCTTGCTGCTGTATTTACTCCCTCCATCTGACAGGAGGGAGCCTCGTTGAGCTGCGAGTGTCACTCCACGGAGTTCACTTCGTCACAGAGAGGTAGTGTGTAGGGCGTGGTTTGGGATTGGGCCTGAGTGTTGCTGCCGTTGAGTTTGTGACTTTGATTGGTGTATTAATTAGACGATTAAACTAAGCAGTCTAAAGCTCATTCAAACAAAGTGTGAGAATCTTCCAGTCGGTGTTCACAGTGAATGTGAAACTAAAATATGCCAGAAAAAGGAACTAGTTTACACGACCATTTGGAGCTTCGACTAATTGGTTTCCAGAAAATGCAACTATACCCAATGTTATCTCAAATCAGTATACAACAAATACATTTTTAAAATAAATGTTGTCTTAAAAATGATTCACCATATACTGCAAACGTAACCCACTTGTTGCTAATTGGTCTAAATCAATCAGACTAAACACCTTTCCAACACGACTGAACCATAAACACTAAAAACCTTTGATTGGACACAGTGATGCAGTAGTAATGAGTCATTGTACAAAGAAATCCTTTATTTAAACTCTTTCTGAAGGTCTTCATCTTTATTTAATGCTGAATCCAGACACACACACACACACACACACACACACACACACACACACACACACACACACACATACACACACACACACACGTACGCAGTGGATTCCATCAAAGTCCACCTGTCTGGCCCCAAGCCTCACCCAGCACACCATGCCAGTGTCAGAGCCAGAGATAGTGAAAGAGAGGGATGATGGGACATTGATAGCCATTTGTCTTCCATCTCCTTAGGGACACAAGACAGAGAGCTGTTGTCCGTCTCCACCACTATCATTTACTTAAACAAAACAAATGCCTCATCGATCCCCCGTCCCTCCTCACATCCCCGCCGTTCCCTTTCCACCACAGCAGCCAGGGAACGCACTCGACACACACACACACACACACACACACACACACACACACACACTGTACAACTCACAACATTGATCCTCTTCTGCAGCACTTTGTCATCAACTTCCATTGTGTGCTAAATAATCCCCACTGTCGCCACAGTCCGTGACAATAGATGTTGCTGTTTTAGCATCTTTCTCTGGCCTCTGGTGGCCTTAAGGCGTATAACTGTACACACAATGTTTGCATTGACCCCTCAGGCCATCACACGTTGGAGTTGTTTGTCTGGACGGGGCGTATGTTGGATTCTGGCATTAACCCAATAACATAATTTGCCCTTTTGAATGTTCAAGGACATTTTCAAAAGTTGAGCTCCGGAGTGCGATTTGAAATGCCGACGCACAGAGAGCCCTAGCATGACCCACCCCAGATCACAGCTATCTAGCATGCTCTTCTTGGCGACCACTGTCCTTGCTACGCTAAACAGCTAGTCATAGTGGCTCAGAGAACAGTCCCATCATTTCACTTCCCTGCAATAAAGAAGTTTAGCCTGCAGTATACAAGCTGGCCAAGAGTTACTACAGCTGGCCAGCCCAACCCCCACAACTCTTAATTTCAAATACTGATAAAACTTACCCTGTTTCAATTTTGTTCATGACTGAATTAATTGTTTTAACATGTAGAAAGTGGTTAGTTCCCCATTTTAAATATTACAAATGTGTGAATTGTCTCTTCGCTGAGTGTCAAAGTTCCTTTATGAAGAGAAACCAACGGTTAGGGTAGGTGATTTGTATTTCTCAAGCCTTCAGGTGTGCCGGACGTTAATGAACATTTTTGTAGTAGCCCAACGCTGGTACTACAACTTCTGTGTCACCGTGACCTCATCGGGCCAAAAAATACTTGTTCCCATTGACTTACATTTGGGAAGAGAGGTCTGTGAACGAGTGGAGATTTTTTCTTTTAGCTAAATCAACTACCTGCCTTGTATGATCTTCAATAGCCCTTATTTATATCTTTAGGGCCTCAAAGCTGTAAGATGTGCTTAAAGCTGAATCCATTTGACCTCTCCATTCATTTGACTGAACCGAAACCAGCCGTGACATTGTGGGTTGTAGGCGGGGATTATAGAAAACGCAAGTGTGGATGCTCTGTGGGCCCACATGCAGGTACATTTCACTCCACGGTACTTTTGCTCTCTAGAGTCAGAACCTTTTGGATTCATGCGCCACTGAGCAACTTTCGTATTAACGGGGCCCAGCCTTCGACGCTGTATCCAGATGTTTTTACACATCCATGGTATTTCTAAGTTGTGAATGGCGTGTAGTGCAGTCTCCACCAGGAGACATCCTTTAACTTTAACATACTGTAGTTGTAATGCACAAATATGTCCAGAAAGCTATCATTAAAATGTTTTGGTGTTGAACATAATCACAGATATTGCAAAATTGTCCAATGTCAGCATTAGAGCAATAGGGTCAGGAAAATTACAAACCTATTCATTGTGGATTTAAAAACACTTATCTATAGCATTACAGTCATCAGAACATCAAATATGTACCCACACATGAATTAGTAATTTCATCTTTATTTCCACACAGTGATTTTTCTTTATTACTAGAAAACAATGCAGATGAACTGTTTTAGTAACACACTAGGGCATAAGAACAACAACTCTTTTTTATGGTCATTAATGGTTTGGCACATAAGAGCAAGACCCTTCCACAAGAGAAGCTGAAGCTCCACACACACACACACACACACACACACACACACACACACACACACACACACACACACACACACACACACACACACACACACACACACACACACACACACACACACAGCAACTGTCAGACTGTGGCTGAGGTCCCCCACAGGACGCTCTATTAGTGCTAATACCCACAGTCCTCTGTGTATTGTTCTGCTCCTGATGATTACACGGGGAACATCCCACGTTACAACACACAGCCTATCGTCTCATATCACATAACCCATGTAAGAGATGAGGATGTGAATGGGTGGCTGAGGGGAGAGGGACTACTGGCAAAGTCTTAATACTACTCAGTGGTGCGGTAAATTAATTTTGGATTGCTTCTCTGGGTTTGAACAAAATTGTTTTGTTGAGGGGAAAAAAAGAGATTAAGGTTTTTAATTATACTGGGTAATTCATTCCGCAAAATAAATCCCTGCTAAAATGGTCCCTTCAGAGACAGAGGAGATGTGTCAGCCTCTCACGGTGCCGTTATTAAGAGATGCCCCACGCACACAAACACACACTCATTGCACCGCTGACACTTCCTCTGTACTGCAGTTTACCGCCCGGTTACACTTCCTGTTTATGAGAGACGCACAGACTTTACAAAGTACAAGTTGGAGTTAATAATGGGTTTAAATGACTGTTAAATCCCTCCTTTCTTCTGTTTCTCCACTTTGACCACTTTAATGTGTGTCCTCAAACAGCTGGAGCATAATCCAGAAACCCACCTCGTCCATTTTCCAATTTACCAATCCAACACAGAAGGGAGGGGGGAAATACAATTCTCCTGCAAATTACACCAGCTCTGTTTGCGGTATAATTCATTCATAATTGGATATAATTGAAAGGCGATAACTGCTGAATGTGTTCTTTAGTGAGCTTTAGGCAATTAGCGGGGGGAATTACTGACAATTACAGTTGACTTCTCCTGACATCATACGATTTCCTGTCACTCCAGGTGCAGGTGAACTGGCTCAAACCGGCAGAGGTGTGTGTGCTCGCAGCTAAATAGCACAATCAATGGGAATTATGTGCGAAATGGACCAAAGAAAGAGGCTTAATGCTAAAGAGAAGGAACCAGGTCGAGGAACTTAAAGGTGGGGTAGGTAATTCACTTCAGAAACACTTTTTGTTATATTCCATGGAATGCTCTTAACATCCCGATAGCAATGAATATATTACATGCTTTGACAATAAATACATTCAATCTCTGGAAGCCGTAGCACTGTAAAAAGCACGACCAATCATCTGAGCCGGCCTGGCTAAAATAACTGGATGGCCTACCTGCCTGTCAGCCTTCCATCTGTGCACAAACTTATCTCGTGCCCTCATTGGTCATGTGCGCGTTCGTGTGTGTTGGAGGAGGGGCTCTGTGAGGAAGTCTGAAGGAAGGGGCAGATTTGTTCCGATTGTGTACTTTCAAATTCTAGCGCACTCGAGCTGTACATGTACATCCACATCATGTACATCCACTGCACACATAATCTGAAATAACAACTCATATTTCTCGCATCAAATGAGATCAAAACGCATTTTAATGGCCAAACTAACTTTAAAATAGGCATTTTCCACCGAGAATAAAACGAAGTTCGGCCATGTCTTTTTTTTCTGCAGGGAGAAATTTGAAGATCACGTGACATAGACGCCAGCCATTGGAATGAATGGTGAAAACAAACAGAGCACATGGTGTAGTCCTAAACGATAGCTGGGGATTCTGGGTAGTGTAGTGTCTTCTGCCATCCTTTACTCCGAACAAATATTTGTTTCTCCAAATCGAAGGGGAAAAATACAAAAGCATTGCACACAATTTAAACCAATCAATGTTGTGTTTTTTAGTCGATGAGTAGTGCAGATATCACTGTAAAATCAATCGACAGTAAGGGGAATACTTACTTCCGGGTGTACAATTCTCCGTTATCCAATGAGAATGGACGCTCACATTGCCTTTAAGGGCAGCCGACACAAACGAATGCCGTGCTTCCATGAGCGTCAAATCCCGCCGCAGATGGGAATACATTGCAATCAGTTGAAAGCTATTTGCGTCCCTTTATGAAGCTGAAGGAGCCTAGGAGCGTCACAACTGCACGCCACGGGACCCTGACCAAACGTCGCTCCTGGACGATTATGGAGTGAGAGTGTGTTGGTCTTGAAGTGGATTCTAGCAGGAAGCCAGTGAAGGGAGCGGAGGAGCGGAGTGGTGTGGGAACATTTAGGAAGGTTGAAGACCAGACGAGCCGCTGCATTCTGGATGAGCTGCAGAGGTCGGATGGCACATGCAGGTAGACCAGCCAGGAGGGAGTTGCAGTAGTCTAGGCGTGAGATGACGAGAGCCTGGACCAGAACCTGCGTCGCTTTCTGTGTCAGCTGGGGACGTATCTTCCTGATGTTGTAAAGCGTGTATCTGCAGCAACGGGTTGTAGCAGCGATGTTTGCAGTGAAGGACAGGTTGTTATCTAGGGTCACACCCAGATTCCTTGCAGTCTGAGTCGGGGAAACAACAGAGGGGCCGATGTTGATTGTTCGGTCAAGAGTGGGACAATCTTTTCCCGGGAGGAAGAGCAGCTCAGTCTTGTCAAGGTTGAGCTTGAGGTGATGAGCAGACATCCACTGAGAGATGTCAGCTAGACAAGCAGAGATACAACAACTTGGATTGTAGTCATAGTTAGTACTCAGCCTTCGATAACAGTTGGTTTTGAGTCTAAGAAAATAACCCTGATGATGTTATTTAGGTTTTTGGGCATGAGCTTTTTTTAATTTTGTGAGCATTAACCTGTGGTCCAAAGAAAATGTTAAGACATCCACTGACTCATGGTCAAACCCTTTTTCTTAATTTCTTGCCTGTGTTTTGGTCTGTTTCACTAATGTAGTATTCCCGCATTTCTCACATGGGAATTCATGTCTAGGTGCCCTTTCCATAGAGAAAAGCTGGATTACTACATTTGATTCAAGGCTTCAATAGTTTG